AGAGAGAGAGAGAGAGAGAGAGAGAGAGAGAGAGAGATCTACTCCATGCTAACACACATTCTCTCCAGGTGGCACAATCGGCACCGGTCTCTTCATTGGCAGCGGCGGAGCACTCGCAACAGCAGGTCCTGCGGGATCACTCATCGCGTACGCCTTTGTCGGTACCATTGTCTACTCTGTCATGGTAGCCCTGGGTGAAATGGCCACCTACATTCCCGTCTCTGGAGCCTTTACCGTCTACGCAGCCCGCTTCGTGGACCCCAGTCTCGGTTTCGCAATGGGATGGATCTACTGGTGAGTGGTTGTTGATCTATCTCGTTATCGTTGGAGAGAACACGTTCTAAAGCTAATCGTGCCGAAAAAGGTTCTCCTGGGCCATGACATATGCACTTGAACTGACAGCCTCGGGCTTAATCATCCAATACTGGGCCCCAAATCTCAACGTGGGAATCTTCATCGGAGTCTTTTGGGTCGTCATCACATCCATCAACTTCCTCCCCGTATCCTTTTACGGCGAAGTCGAATTCTGGTTCGCATCGATCAAAGTCCTCACTGTCATCGGCTTCCTCCTCTTTGGCATCTGCATTAACGCCGGAGCAGGAGACCAAGGATACATTGGATTCAAATACTATCACCACCCAGGCGCCTTTGCCGAATATCTCGTCACAGACAATCCCTCTCTGGCCAAATTCGTCGGTTTCTGGGCGGTATTAATCCAAGCGGGATTCTCCTACCAAGGCACGGAACTCGTCGGAATCGCAGCAGGCGAAACCTCCAACCCACGCAAAACCGTACCGGCAGCAATCAAAAAAACCTTCTACCGCATCCTCTTCTTCTTCGTCTTCACCATCTTCTTCATCGGAATTCTCATCCCCTACGATAACCCTCAACTCCTCTCCTCCAAATCCGACGCCACCGCCTCCCCCCTCGTCATCGCCGCACAACTCGCAGGCGTGCATTCCCTCCCAGGAATCCTCAACGCAATCCTCCTCTGCGTCGTCCTCTCCGCCGCAAACTCCAACGTCTACTCCGGCTCACGCATCCTCGTCGGTCTCGCCGAAGAACACAATGCGCCCGCGTGCTTCAAACGCACCACCTCCAAAGGCGTCCCCTGGGTCGGATGTAGCGTCACAGCCGCCTTTGGCCTGCTGGGATTCATGAACCTCTCCTCTTCCGGCGGAGAAGTCTTCAACTGGCTTCTCAACATCGTCGCAATAGCAGGTTTCATCTCCTGGACATGCATCAACATTTGCCATATTGCATTTCAACGCGCTTTGTCCGCACGCGGCCAATCTCGGGATACGTTACCATACAAAGCGCTGTGGCAACCGTGGTTCTCGTGGTATGGGATATTTTTTAACACGTTGATTATTTTGACGAATGGATTTACGGCGTTTATGCCGTGGAGTGTGACAGATTTTTTTGTGGCGTATTTATCTCTGATTTTGTTTGTTGTGTTGTATATTGGGCATAAAGTGATTTATCGGACCAAGTTTGTGAGAGCGAGAGAGGCGGATTTGGATACGGGTCGTAAGGAGATTGATGAGTTGTTTTTTGAGGATGTGGAACCGACGACGTTGTGGGGCAAGTTTTGGGCTTGGATGGGTTGATTTGAATGAGAGAGAGAGAGAGAGAAAAGTTTCCGAATTGACAGACTAGTTTGTCTTCCTTTCTCTCCCTCCTCTCCACTACCAACATACAAGGTACATATCGCAGCAACCTCCCTCCTCCCCCCTTCTCTCCTCCCTCAAACAACAACAGCAGCAGCAGTCTCCCAAAGTGAAAAAACAACAACAAAAACAAAACAAAATGTTTTTCTTTTCTCTTTCTTTTTTTGTTTTTTTTTTTTGTTGCACTAAGGAGTCGTCCCCGTCAAATTTCTACCAAGAACCGGTTTCCCACAACCCTTTTTCTTCGACTGACAACACAGTGCTCCATCGGCGTATCGGGCGAAGCAATCATCTGCAAAAGATTGAGCCTGGTCAAATGCTTGATTGTTTGCACACTGTTAATTGTAACCCGACACATAATCAGGTCCTTTTGGTTAGTAACTGTCTCTGTCTTCGCTCTCTTTCTCGTGTGTGCATGTGTATATGTACATATATGAAAAAGGGGAAAGGGGAGTACGTACATGCGTCGTGCGATCAGGCCCGAACGGATAGGCTGCCCAGCCTCGATCCAAGCAGACAAAGGAGGTGATAAAATCATATGGTATAAAAGGTCCAGTAGTGTCACCGGGAGTATCGTAGTAGCCGCAGTAACAATACTCGTTTTTGTCAATTCTCTGGTTTGGTGAGTGTGTGTCTAAAGCAGCATCGCGTGCCTGGTTCTGGTGTTTCGCGCCGGTCTTACTTTTACCTTGAATCGGATCGGGACAATATGTTGTTTTGCCAGCGGGACAACACTTGGCTCCATAGACGTTCTGGGCAGCACAATCATCTGCGAACGCTTGAGCTTGGTCGAATGCTTGATCGTTTTTACACTGTTATACCGACACACACTTTTGGTTAGTATTCTCTCTCTCTCCCTTTCTCTCGTGTTGTGTTGATGAAAAGAAATACGTACATGCAGCGTCTTGTATTCTCCAAATGGGTAAAGGTCCCATTGTCGGTTCTGGCAGACAGTAGTAGTTGCATCCGGAGCAGACTGAAACTCATAATCCGCTCCGGGATCAGGGTTCTCTGCCACGCAGAGACAGAACTCGTTCTCATCGCTGGTTTCAGGGGGATGTGACTGCGTATTGTGTGCTCCCTCAACCGGAAGCGGACATCCGTCTTTGCCCTTTGGACAACAACTTCCTCCCTCGACGCCCAGGCTGCTGCAATCATCTGCGAATTGCTGGCTATACTTGGCTGCATCGTCATTGGCACACTATTACCGACACACTTTTGGTCAGTACTGTTGTTGTTGTTGTTGTTGTTGTTGTTGCCGTTGTCGCTGTTGTCGTCGTTATTCTTCTTGTTTGTACGTACATGGACAAAGCCATCACCCTCCCACAAATATTGTTTCCACCCATCACCCAAAGAATCGCAGACGAGAGCAGTTTCATTACTGGCACCGTCGAAAACTCCATCGTTGTAACCCACAAAGTTAGTGGCGCAGAAACAGAATGCATTCAGATCGGGGTTGTCCTTAGCAACAGCGAAGCTAAATGGGTTTTTGGGATCAGCATGTCGTCTCGTCTGCTCGACTACATAAAAGGTATTGATTGTGGGGGGATGGGACTTACCTGCATAGGGAGGCGAAGATGACCCCTGACAGCTTCATCTTGGTCGTGGTTCGGTCGTGTTGGGGAACGGTGTCGAAGTAGAGAGTGTCTGGCAATGTGGATCAAGTGTTGTGTCGACTCAAAGCGCAAAGCAGAGAGCAGTGCAGTGCAGGGTGGAATGAAGTTCAAGTACCTGTCTGTACTGGATATATAAGTATAGAAATTGTCAGTCGATCGGCCCTCCCCCTACCCCCTACTAGAGGTCCAGAGCGTCTGCGTGTTGGAATGAGATTTTCGCCGACATTGTCCTCCGGTCCTACTCATGGGCCATGGTTCTTCCTGTTCTTCTTCTTCTTCCTCTTCATCTTCCTGGTTCTGTTGCCAATAAAAAAAGACATTGCCCTGCCCTGTCAGTTGGTACCTATTTCACCGTACCCTTGTACAGGATGCCATCCTATTCCGCCTCCTTGTATACCAACAACAACAGCAGCGATTGCCCTCTTGATGTGTGATCAATTGACCTGGTCTTGAATCCTTTATTCCTTTTCTGGATCTGATGTCAGCTGAATTCTCTTGTTGTTCTCCCTTCAAATACGGAGGAGAAGCAGGCCTGAGTATCGGTCGATGAAGGAAAGCCAGAGACAGAAAGTTCAGAAACCAACTCTTGAAGTCTGGCAAGGTTGTCTTTACCCCACCCCTATCCTGGCTTCAACTCATCTCCTGATTCCCCTTTTTGCTACCTAGGTACCTTGCCCGCCCATGTCACCTTCCCACTGCCATGGATTCCCCGATGCCACCTGCCTTAGCATTTGTAACCGTACACGTAGTCGTGCCAAACAGAAGAGATTCGGGCCGGGGCAGATGAGATGAATAGAAATAAAAAAGTCAAGAGACTTTTGTGATTGTTCCACTGCCTACGCTTTCATCGACGCTATGAACGCAACAACAAGCATAACGGTTTCATGGGGTATCTCATTCAAGGAAACAACAACAACAACTCCCTCCCAAGCACAAAACAAAAGGGAAACAAGCCCCAGTACAAGCCCGTTCGCATGAGTATCGATCTCATCTCATCATCTCATCATCAGGCACCCTTCATCTCCTGCTCTCCCGGTGGAGTGATAGAAGCCTTTGCAAAAGGGATATGTCCCGTACTGCTAAACACAGGTAGCTGACTGGGCCGGCTCGGTTGGGAGGGAGGGACTCGCACGAGTGATTGGTCTGCACTCATCTTAGCCGGTGGTAACGGAGGACTTGCGACGACGGTGGACATGGGGGGCTCCTCTGCTCCGTTGGGTTGAGTGTTCATATCTCGTGTCTGCTCCAGCGGCGTCCCACTCACATAGGGCTCAGCTTGGGGCACTAGGAGCTGTGATGATTCGTGAGAAGAGTCCGAGCCCGCCACAGCAGAAGCAGCTGATGGCCCAATTTCTATCGAAGACGTGGGGTCAGCGCCAGACATTGCTTCGAATGGCTGTAGGGGTGCAACGTTCTCCTTCGACGTGATGTGGAATGGCTCCTCAGGTTGGGCTACATTCTGCCACGTAGCCGCTTCGGATACTGCCACCCCTGGTCGAGTCGAGGCGGCTGTCGTACCAGCAGGAAGTGCGGTCGTAAGTGTGCCCTGATCGTGAGCAGGAGATGGTGTGATGGTTGTCGAGGCGTTCGCAGTCGCACTGGCGGATTGGGCTGCTTTCTTCGCAGCGGCATTGACTCTTCTGGTCTCTGCTCCTTTCAATGCTCGTGCTCGACGCTCGGCATTGAGCTTCTCCATCTGCTTGCGATCGTGCTCTTCCTTCGACGCTGGTGCCTTGAGTGTGATCTTTCTCAGCCCACTTGTCAGTGAGTCCACATCCGAAGACTGTTCGGAGGCGACGCTTCCGGTGGCAGGGGGTCGAGGTGCAGAACTCGTCTTGCCCGCAGGTGAACTGGGCGCAGTGGCAGCTGCAGTGCGTGCAGCCTTCACTGGTGCTCGTACCTTCTTCGTGCCAACTTGTGCACTCGGCGCCGGAATCGGAGGCGGCTTCATGCTGCCATTCATGCTGCCATTCACATTGACATTACCGTTGGTCACTCCTGGCACGGAAGGCATCGGTGGCCGATCTTTTCCAGCGTCACTGTTTGTGATACTCGATGCGCTGCCTGCACTCAACCGCCGGCTCAAGCGCCTCTGCTGCGGTGCAGCGACATCACGAGTCGGCAAGATGTCAATGGTCTCTCGCCTGCTGGCTCTACTCTCGTTGCGACTGATACTTCTGGAGCTCTCGTCGCTGTAAGCACTTTCCGCGTAGGCAGGTGTCTTGGCTCGACGATCTCGTAGCTGTCGAGGCTGTGAAGCATCGTGCGGCGGCGGTGGCGGTGGTGGCATGGCATCTTTCTTGGTGCGTGGCATGACGAGCTCGTCTGCAGTGCAGCTCTTGGTCTGCCGATCATGTGGAATGAGCAGATGGGATAGCTCCTGAGTAGCAACAACCCAGTCCACTTCGGGAAGTGGTGGAGTAGGCGCACGCTCAGGTCGGGGCACATCGCGCAATGTACCAGAAATCGAGCGCGCAAACTTGTTGGTGTCGACGACTTTGTAAGCAAAAGACTCGGTGGGTGTGGCATACGTTGGTTGCGGTCCCACGCGATGTTTCTTGACCTGCGGCGGCGGAGGAGGGTTGATCTTGTGCTCGAGCGCGGTGAGATTCGCGCTGGACCACCACGACTTGTCGTAGCGAAGATGAGAATTGACACCAGTCATGGAGAGTCCGTTCATCTTGTTGCTCAAGCTCATGAGATGGTCGAATCCATCGTCGCTCTGTGTAGTGACAGACGTGGCACACAGCCCAGACAAATGGCTCAACACACCGCTGCACAGTGCCCGGTCACTATAACCACCTTCGAGTACACTGATGACACGACCGTCACAGCCGGACACCTCACGCGATAGCTTGACGATATCTTCTGTGAAGCGAGCATAAAACTCGGTGGGCACATTCACCTTGTGCCGCTGCATGCCTTCACCTTCCCATTCGCTCGCATCAAAGCCGGCAGAGATGAAGATGGCGGCTTTGGGGAGGACTCTGCCTTCTGTGCGCACACGATCGGTATGATAGGTGAGAAAGACTCGGGCTTTGTCGAGCAGGATGCGGTAGCGGTCTTCATAGAGCTTCCAGAAATCATCCTCCGTTTTCCACGGCTGGAGATGGACATTCCAGATGGACTGGCTATGTGCATTTTCCACACACAAACTGGCGGCTTGGACCTTGGCGTCGTCACCATACTCGCACGGGTAACTGTTGATGTCATGCAGGCTGTAGTACCCAATGTCCGGACTGAGCTTCAGCTTGCTATTCGCTTTGGCGTTCTGTCTCTTCTCGTTGTTCTTGCTGTTCCTCTCCCACGCGATGGCCTGACTCCCATCCCCATGGTGCAAGTCGAAGTCGAAGATGGCCGCGTGCGTCATGCCATAGGTCTGCGCGGCATATTCAATGCCCACGTGTACATTGTTCAACCAGCAGAAGCCGCTCGGATGATCGGCAGAGCAATGGTGGCCCGGTGGACGAACGGCAACAAAGGATTTGGAGGTGGTCGAGCCCGGTGTGAAGACGGCATCGACAGCGTCAGCGACACCGCCCAGGGCGCCTTGGAATGCGTCCAAAGAAGCGGGAGCCAGATAGAGGTCGCCTGGATGCAATTGTGTCTTGTCCGAGTCCCTACTGACTTCCTTGATTCCGGCGGCAAGCCTCTCCTGCGCAGCATGGCACATGCCTTGCAGTTCCGTCATCCACTGCGTCCCATGTACCGCAGTCACATATGCCGAAGTGAGGTCGATAGTTCGCGCTGTACGCCGAATCTTGAATGGCGGCTGCGCGTCTGGGTTGCGATCGGGATGTGGAGCATGCTTGGCGCCTGCGTGATGGCCGCCGAGCCTGACATATGCTGTGGATGCTCCCAGCACACTGGCATGTATGCGCTCTGGTCGCTCTACAATCAGCGAGAGCTGGCCCTTACTGGTCTTTAAGCGTGACCAACGATGTCCGTAGCATGCGTCGTGGAGGATGACGACGACATCGGACTGCAGGTCGGCATCGCCATGCCCCAGCAGCTCCCTCGTAAAGTGTGCAGTGGCCAGCTGAGCAGCAGTGAGGGGGATGGGCTCCTCGATGGACTCCATCCGGCCCTGGGCTTCTCTCAGGCCCGTGATGAGGTTGGAGATGGAGCGCTTGGGAGTGGCCTGCCTCTCTTGCTCTTCTGGTCCACCACCACCACCACCACCACCACCACCGAGAGACGACCTGGACGACTTTTGGCGGAGCGCTGGAGACGCGGACGGCTTGCGCATGGCCATGCTACTCGAGGCGCGGCGCGAAGGTGGTTGTGGGCGGGGTGAGTGGGGTGGCAGGTTGGGCGACGCAGCAGACGTGCGTCGCGATCGAGGCATCGGTGTCGGTGTCGATGTGGTCTTCATATTCGGCGTGGGCGGGGCAGGCGAGCGTGGACTCTGGCCATAACCATGACCATCGATTGCAACCGTCATCTGTCGCACGGCATGCGACAATTCGGTGGCATGGTCGGTGTTGGTGTCGATGGCCAAGGCGGTCGGACGCGCACTCTCTGCCCCTCCTCCATCTGATGGTAGCCCCGGGGTGGTCTGCTCCATGGAAGGATGCCGGGTCGTACGAGTGTGTAGCAGAATTGTGTATATGTGTGTGTGTGTATGTGTTGTCTGGTAGAGTGGTATAGTGAAAACAACAGAGATTCGTGAGTGGACCCTGGTCGACGCGACCAAGGCAGACGTGTTCGTAGCGACGTAGCTTCATTAGGAAAGTACAGTAGGACACCCAGGTACCCTTGCTCCAGGATCGACGCCGGCTCTGTCCCAATCGGAAATGAGTTGGCACAATTTCGCGGATGGCGCACGGCCTCTTCCCATGTGATTATTGTTCCGGCCAGCGGATCAACGTCACAGGTCTCGCGAGAAAAGCTGTCGTAGTCTCGTGCGTACTCGGTGCAAAGTGCTGGTGGTGCTGGTAGTGGGCGCAGCGGGCTCGCTCCAGCTGGCTGAGTATTGCAGAAAGGTCTCAAAGTCCAGCGGCAGCTCGGGCTCGGGCGGTGGTGGTGGTGCGGGGGCGCGCTGCTCATTGAAGTGGGCACTACGCTGTCGGTTCCTCAATGCCACCGACGAACGGTGTCGCTGGCCGATGTGTTGCTTCGACATGGCGGATGGCAGTCCAGCAGGCAGACTGGCAAGAATTGGGGGATTGATGAATGATGTGGTCCGCAGAGCAGCAGCAGCAGCAGTAGCAGTAGCAACAACAGCAATAGTGCACTGCTTTTGTTCTGCTTGGTGACAGTGTGCTGACTCGGAAAGAATGAGAATAGGTGTGTTAAGGTGTGAGCGGTTCCGATATGATAGGACTGACTCGAAAGATGCAAGAAGACACCGGACGTGGCAACGTTCCAGCTATAGATACATATGTATGAGAAGCAGGCGGGCTATACACCCGGCCATATGGGGTGTCTGGTCCACGATCGTACATGCGCACAGGACCGGGGGGAAGAAAGCTGAAGCGTGCGGTCCCTCTCCAGCTCGGTCGGGGTCGCTGTTCGAAGGGCCCCTGACCATTACACCACGATGTTGCGGCCGGCAGTGGCAGTACGAGACGCGTCGCACGTCACCAGTCTACCTACGCCTACCAGCGTCTAGCCGTCCAGCGGCCGCTTCGCTAAGGTCAGGTCAGTATTCGTATCCGCCAGCACCAGCACTTTGAATTCCCCCATCATCATCATCATAAGGTACCATCGTTCCCAGTAAGATTATTGTCGAGCGGGAGCTTGCGGGAGTTTTGCCCATGCTCCATGCTCATTGAAGGCTCCAAGCTCTCATTCATTCCATGCATTCAAGATGGTTCAAGCTCAGCGAGTGCATCGATCAGGATCTTCCCGAGCGTGCCTAGACGACGTAGACTTCACTACCCGGACTACCGTACAAGTGTATGCCCTGTCGTGACCCCCGGCCGGCTCGCTATACAGTAGGCCGAGCGAAGATGGAAGTTGTTGCTTCATCTGTTCATCAGCCCTCTCTCTCTCTCTCGCCGCTGTTGTATCTCCATATCCCTAGGTTGGTATGTACCTAAGGTACCTGAGGTACAGGGAGAGGATGCACTGGTAGCACCACACCTCGGGGGTCCACGTCTACGGTCTACCTTCATCCAGGCGGGAGCTGTGTCTGGGGATGGGCCTAGCATCGACTGCATCGAGTGAGTCGGCTTCCCATCCAATGTGGCGCATGCATCCGGAAAGCGTTTGGCCGACCGCTCGCTCAGCTTGGCATACCTCCTAGGTCACCTTTTTTCCCTCCTACCTTCCCGCTTCCCATGTCCTGGTTTGAGAATAGACCTTTTCGTTGGCGGCCGTTGCGTTGAAGGTCTAAAGTGACACCGCCGAGCGGCAATCTCCTTCCCCCATGTGGTATAGCGGAGTCTATTTCCCGACACAAGCCAACGAGGAGTAGCGCCGTCTTGGCCAGATGCGATCTCTGCAATCGGTACAGTTCCATCCAACTGACACTACACACCGGCCTCAGACAGACTACATAATACGGACTGATACAGACTGATACAGTAGCACTCTCGCGTTTTTGCCACCGTCTTCCTTTGACCGCAGCAGCACATCATTCATGTTTCATCCGTACAGCATGACCGTCTGTCTCATGATCCGACGTGAATTTGCCAATGTCGATACATAGCTGACGCAGACACAGTGAGTATGTACCTCAAGTACAGTACTAGGAGCCCAGGAGGTGTAGTCAGTACCATTGTACATACCACCAGTTCGGCAGTTTCCACGTCAGGCCACCTCGGAGTGCTACTAAGCATCTACGGTCTACCTAGTTCTACCGTGTCACTGTGCCAGATTGACTTTCTCCAGCTCCAGGGCTTCAGAACAGGCCTCTCCATGCGTCAATCGAACGTCGCTGCGCATTTACCAGCAGTCCAGCACCAGCAAGCTTCGTTCAAGTGAGGCGAATAATAATCTCACCACTGCTGCCAGTCTGCTGGTTGTTTGTCAATTACAAATCATTGAGAGAGAGAGTAAAAAAGCCAAGTGGTTCTGGACCTGTACGAGGGACCGACCAGGTGGTATAGTCACCATAGTGCATTCATCATTGTCTTTTGAACCATTCTGAAACCGGGCGGGAAGAGATTGACGAGGGAGGTCGACGACTGGACTTTCTCATACTAGACAGGGCCCGCTTCTCTTCTCCCGACGATGCCGACGACCTCCCCTCGCTCCCCCAGGCCCCATGCAACCGATCTGAGGTGCTGTTGTATGCGTTGATCGCCTGGTTGGATCGCTCCCTGATGAGCCGACATGACAGAGCAGTTTTCCCTGTATGCAGGTAGTTGCAGTTGTAGACTTGTAGTCTGGTACAGTACATCTGTACATACTAACTATACCCTCCAATGATACAGGCATCATTCTCATCGGCACTTTCGGGTCAATTTTTGCTCTTGCTCAATTAGGAACTTGCGTGTTGTCGCAACAAGGCAACTATCGAGGCCAGAAAGGTAATAATAATATCACATGTGAATACGATATTCGATAGTCTACTGTATAGTCTCCTAGTAGCATCATTTGGGACACTGTAGTGTACGGAGGTAGTAAGTAAGTGAGGTAAGTGGTTGGTCCACGCGTATAACCGGTTGGTACCTGGTAGCCAAGGGTCCGCATACACGACCAACAACAACAACACTTGAACACTGCACCCGACCTCAACAAAGACAAGAGATCCCAATGTATACCTTACCGTGGGTATGTTGAACGACAGCTCTGAGCTCACAAACAGCTCACAAATACAAAAAAGCATATTACAAACTCAAGCTCAGCTGAGGGATACATGTCGAACCACAGGTCTGTGCATCTGAATTCTGGTCTTTTGCCTTTACCTTAGCCTTTGCCTTTTCCCTTTTTTCCTTTTGCTTTGCTTTCATCAAGCCTGCCTTGTCTTGCTCGGCAGTGTCTTGGTACGAACGAACGGAGAAAAAAACAAAGCCTTCATACCCAGGCACGGATCAACTTGTTGTGTTGGCAACACAAAAACCTCTTTTTACATACATGTACCTTGCCTTATCTTACACAGACCATCTATCAGAATTCTGAAACACACGAGCGAGCGGGGCATGAATGATGGTGTGGAAGAGGGGCACATAGTAATGCAGGTACAGTAAGACGCTAGTAGGTTGAGGTTGAGGTTGAGGTTGTAGTATCTGCCCCTCTTCCTCTTCCTCTTCTTCTTCTTCTTCTTCTTATTCTCCTCCTCCTTTCTTTTTATCTTTCTTATCTTCCTTATCTTCTATCGTTGTCGCTACATGTACTATCGACTACAGGTATATGTACTTCCTCTAGCGAAACATGTACCTTAGGTTAGAAAGGGGCAGTTCTACGTACGTACGCGTTTGTTCCTCCTATAGATCTAGCTAAGGCTATATACATATATCGCTTAGCCTTATTATTGTTATTACTATTGCAGTAGTTGTAATAGTATAGCACCGTACAAGAGAGTAAGTGTCTAAGGTCGCAGCTGTCTCTAAAACTCTGTCTCTTAAAACTCTCTATAATAGCGGCGGGGCTATAGGCAGCTCTTAGATTCGTCTAACCGTAGCCCTAGACGTAACTTACCTAACCTGTATAGTAACATATCTCCGCCGCTTGTTATTAACGTAAACCTTCGTATATTTAATACAGCGCGTTAACTCGCGCTATTATCTTATTATGCTATCGCGTTGTCGTACTGTCGTATATACTAACCTTTCGATATTACCGAGATATATTATTATTATTATTACATTTTTACTATTATTACTAAGATACGTTATTACCGAGATATAATGTCTGCCCTACTACGTACATCTTCTCTTCTACGTACTTATACTCGTAATTGCGCTAGTAGTAAATTTCCTCGGGTATATGCTTCCTCTCTTCCGAGTGTTCCTACTCTTCCTCTACCTCTCTAGTATCTCGTTAGAGCCGAAAACTTTAATAGAGAGAAGGAGGATATGTTCCTCGTTAAGTCCGAGAAGGAGGACGGAGAGAAGGAGGATATGTTCCTTGTTAAGTCCGAGAAGGAGGATAGAGAGAAGGAGGATATATTCCTTGTTAAGTCCGAGAAGGAGGACGGAGAGAAGGAGGATATATTCCTTGTTAAGTCCGAGAAGGAGGATAGAGAGAAGGAGGATATATTCCTTATTAAGTCTAAGAAGGAGGACGGAGAGAAGGAGGACAAGTTCCTCGTTAAGCCCGAGAACTTGTAAGAGGAGGATAAGTTTCTCGGTAAGCCCGAGAACTCTAACGGAGAGAAGGGAGTATAGGAGAAGGAGGAGGAGTTTCTCGGTAAGCCCGAGAACTCTAATAGAGAGAAGGAAGAGTAGGAGGAGGAGGAGGAGGAGGAGGAGGAGAAGGAGGAGGAGGAGGAGGATCTCGGTTCTAACGAGGAATTTAAGATACCTCCTCTATCTAAGCAAACCTTTGATTCTATCAAATTGCTAAAGGAGTTCGTTAAAAAGTAGACTTGTAAATATAGTTTTGACCTTGTTATCTCTAATACAAAGAATCGAGGTACCTAGAAAAGAGTACGATATATATATATATAAGAGTAGGGTATATAGTAATGTATAGAGCGTCCTTCCTACTGCGTAGGAAAAGGAACAAACTAATTCTTGTCCTTCGGAAAGGAGAGAGCAGCGTCGTATAATATACCTCTACGCTAAGTATACGTAGGCGCTACGCTATACGGGCGGTCGCCCGATAGCCGATCGCCCGACGACTTAGAGCGTACTGCTTCTATAGCCCGTCCTGCCTTAGGCTAACGTATCTTAGGCTCAAATACCTAACTGCCCCCTAGGGCTATATACCTCTAGGCCTAGCTATTACAATTATCTCCTCTCCCTAATAGAGCTATCCCTAGCGATATATTCTACGTATCGTATACGGAGCGTATATAGAGCGTATACGGAGATACTCGTATTCTATATAGAGGCTAGTCGTTATACTAGGAATCCTAGTAGTTACTCTAGGGCATTCTATATAGTAGAATATAAGGAAGTCAATAGAACGTAGAATACGATAGAAGAAAGCCCGCCTAGCAACAGGTAGTAGTAACGAGTAAGTATATTTCGTCCTCTACGCTACGTCTTTTCTTCGTTCCTTAGTTCTTCCCTAAACTATTTTTTCTAGGAAAAACTCTAAGCTCTTTGTACTATCCTCGTAACCTATACGTACGAGATATGCCTCTAAAGCGCGCGATAGCTATAAAGGCGCCTAAGAAACCCGTTCTAGAGTACGACCCGCGTCGCGGTCGCGCTGCGGCTAGAGTATATAATATTTGCCTCCGCTATATAGAGTATATATTTAAGGGTACGTCGATACCTACGCGTTGCGTACGCCTTACCTACGTTTCCTCGCTAACCTAATCTAATAGTAGTAGACGCGAACGGCGTCGCCGAGCGCGCCTACAACAGCGTAATAGCTCCCGGCTATAAGAAGAAGTGCTAGAGGTACGCGAAAGGGCGCTACGCGTACGAACGCGTAGTAGACCTAGACCTACTTCGGTAGGCGCGCTACCTATACGTCCTACATACGGCGCTTCGTTCTTACGTAGCCGGTATACGTTCGGTATAGGTAATACGGCGCTTATAGCGGTTAGAGGATAAAATTCTAGAGAGTAAGAAGGTACTTGCCTCTAACAAGGGCAAGGCCGTCGGCGTCTACGAGACGCCGAAGAAGGGTAGTAGTAGTAGTAGTATAGCTAGCGCGCCGGCGTCGAGCGCCCTAGCCGTAGCCGACTACCTAGAGATAGCGAAAGCTA